CTACAGTCACCAGTCATTGGAACCGACAAGAACCTCTACAGCCTCATGCATCGGCCTGGTCTCCTCCCGACTAATAACCTCATCAGCGGACAGCGCGAAACGAGCGGAATGCGCCGAGTCGACTTGATCAGAACAAAGCAGGAACCGCATGGTTCATTCTTCCGCTGCCATCTCACCATGTCGTCATCCCACCGCTCAACCACCGCAGTCAGACCATTATGACCCCCGACCGAATGGAGAACCAGCATGACGGAGGGAGCGGACACATCTCTCTTCGTGGTTGGCATGACTATTCCAGTAAGAATTCGTATTCACTCGACGCCGTGACCCCGACAAACCAGCGGCAGAATGGATTTAGCTTCTCGCCCGCCAGCCCCCTGACTGCTCCGCGCGCGCAGGCAGCTCCTGCGCCTACGTGTCCCTCGACATCTCGGGACCACACTCAGAGTCTCTCCCTGATTTTCAGCCTCCCCCGCCCTCCCTGACCTCCTCCACTGTTTCGAGCAAGACGCGTAAAAAAAAAAAAAACGTCCCCGTATAACAAGGGGTTGACACCGGAAAAGAAGAAAATGCACCTCGAATCCCCATTTCGTATACAAGGGGTTAGAGTACGGGACCCCTCTTGGCCCCCCTTCCTCCACGCCATGCGTTAGAATAGCTGCTCGTGATCGTGAAGAGTTGAGAAAGGAAAGAAACGAAAAGAAAATAAAAAACCAAAAAGCCAAAGTGTATGCCTGCGAAGACCTGCTTCTCTGTGACGAAAGGGAATTATCAAAGTACATGAAGCCAGCTTGCTGCAATGTCGATGGCTTCTTCTAGGCCAGCGGGCTGCCGACGGGACTGACACCGAGCGGCGCCGCGTGGAGAGCCGGCTTCAGTGAGCCCGCGCCCAGCTTGCCTAGCCTCTTTTTCTCCAGGACGCCCTTGACCCAGTCGGCGACCTCCTCGTCATCCGTGGAGGATGTCAGGTTCATGTTGCCGACGGCATCGGCGATGGCGTCGGCTTCGTCGCCCTCCTCGGCCTCTTCGGCGATCGTCTCTGGCTTGGAAAGAGGTGCGAGCCAGGGGTGCTGGAGAAGCATGGCATACGTGGGACGGTCCTTGGGCACCTTGTTCAGACAGCGCTTCACAAAGTCGCGGGCTGTGCTGGAAAAACTCTCCGGCAGGTCAGGTGGGTCACCTTCGACAATCGCCTAGGAAAAAATATCAGCAAGGATTTTGAGAAGGGGCCAGTGAAAATATGACGTACGCTCAGCTGGCTGAAGATTGTCGAAGCACCTCCGGTGGGTAGGGATACTGGCCCATGGCGCACTCGATAATGGTGAGACCCAAGCTCCAAATGTCGCTCTGCACGCTGTAGCTGCCGTCTGCGCCCGTAGCCATGCCACCGCCCGATATCTCTCGGGTGCCATGTAGCTCTGGCAGCCAATATTGGTCTTGGCCATGCTTGCGACGAGGTTGCCGCTGACGCCGAAATCGCAGACCTTGACCTGGCCTCGCGTGTTGACGAGAATGTTGGTGGGCTTGACATCGCGGTGGATGATGTTGTGGTCATCTTTCAGCGTCTTGAGACCCTGGACAGTCGAATATGTGATCTTGCGAAGCACGTTCTCAGGGACGCCACCGGTGTAGAGCTTATCGATGGAACCACCATCCATGAACTCGATGCAGAGATAGACCGCACCCTCTTGGAAGAAGGCCCCGTAGAAGTCGATGATGTAGGGTGAGACGCACTTGTGCAGAATCACAAGCTCGCGAAGAATCGTCGTAAACTTGGCCTCCTCGAGCTCTAACCTCATCTCCTTCATGGCCATGATAACACCAGTCGTGCCATCTTCCTTGGCTGTGGGCGTAGTCTGCTGGGGGTCGACGGTGTCGTCGCTCTTCGCCAGAGGCGTAGGGTCCGAAACGGAGTGATCAAGGCTTTTGACACCGCTCAGACCTGCGCCAAACCGCGGTTTTCTCGGCTTTGTGTGCTTCACTTTATACACTGTGCCATAATTGCCCTTGCCGAGTTCGTCAAGCACCTCCACCTCATCGAGGGATATGCGGAAAGTCTGGCCATTGGCGAAGTTGACCCCAGTTCGCGTGATTGTGGCGGCGCCGTCAAACGTGATCCAGCCCTTTTCGGAGTCAATATACTTTTTAAAGTCGTCCATCTTGGAACCAAAGCTGTTGCCGTTCCCGTTCGCATTGGCATTGCCGTTTGGTGCACCGCCGGCGCCGGGTGCGGGGGTAGGAGGACCTCCTCCCATGGCTGACAGCGTCAAGCCCGGCTTCTTCCGTCCTCCGGACGCCTTGGTAGGGATGGCGGGGGCAGAGTGAGGCAGAGGGCCCGGTGTTGGGCGCATCATGGGTATGCCACCTGGGAGCCTCGGAACGCCGCCAGGCAGCATGCCGCCGGGCGACTGGCCAGCGGGGGAAGCCGGCGTGCTGGGAGGTGCGTTCGGGGTGACGGGCTTGTTCATTCGTTGCAGATGCAGCGCTCGTGCCCTCGCCATGATATCATTCTGAACACCACCGCCCATCATGGAGGCAGCGGCTGGCCGGGGGCGACGAGCGTCGCCCAAGAAGCCGAGGGGTGTGGAGGAGGCGGTCATGTTGGGAGGGTCGGAGACGGTGCGAAGGGAGGGGAGCCTCCGAATATTGTCAGGAGGGGAGTCGACGGGACCCTCGAGAGGCGTGCTGGCTTCTGAGGAATTGACCGAGCCTGGGGATGCGGGGCTGTCGAGACCGTCCGGGCCATCGTACGTGCCGTCAGGCGTCGCAGGAACAGAGTCGGGCGTGTTGAGATCTGCCATCTTGCCCGTCGAGTAATGTATGCGTTGGGATCGTCAGGCTGCGCGGGCTATGCTATCGCGGTCGCTTTCGTGGTGGAAAGAAACTCCGGAGTGACGGCGAAGGTGACGAATCCGAGCCCGAGTCGGCCTTGGGAGTAGTTGGGGAGGGGCAGAAGAGGTAGGAGTGCGTGGCGTTGAGGCTCAACAAGGCTTGATCATGCGGCGGGCCCTCAGGACGGTTCAGGTTGGGGAAAAGGTCGAAAAACACGCCAGTCGGGCGCGAGAGACGAGGAGGGGCGAACGGCGGGAAAGATTTCGGTGATACCGACGTCTTATACTGCACGCTTGTCGGTTGAGGGCAAGGCGGTGGGTTGATGGTGGTTCGCAATTGGACCCGTAGCTAGTGCTTCCGGGGAATGGCTGGTGACTCGCTCAGGGTTCATGAGCAGCTTGAGGCGAACTTTTTTTTTTTCTTCCCTCTTCTGCTTCTCTTCCGTTCTTGGCTACCAATGCTGAGGCGGGTGGGAGACTTGGGATTGGCGAGCTTTTAGCTGTTGCAAGCTGGGTTTGTCAGGCGCAAGAAGGTGAAGGAAGCGTTCGTGGAACAAGACGCTGGCTGGCTACTGAAAACCGGGCGTATACTAAGGCAGGTGCTGGTGGATAATCCCAATCCCAGTGGAGAAGAAGCAGCAGCAGGCAATGGATGGTGGGGGGAGGGGACGATACACCGCAATGGGCGGGTTTAGCACTAGTCTGGCTGGCAGGGAAGTGGGGTGCTGATGTGCCCATCCAGTATCGGTGACGACGGCGGATGGGATCTCTGACAGGGACCCAGGTGGGTAGGCAGACGGGTGGGAGATGAGCTGGATGAGCTGTGAGGGGTTGATGGAGCATCATACACGTCCAGATGGTACCTGTAGGTTAGTTAGTAGCTGCAGTACCTGCCTGACCTGGGTCAACAGTCAACAGACAGACACCTACAGACATGGAGGGCAGGATCAAGTTCAGACGTGAATGGTGGCGCTCGTCATGCAACATTTCACCTTCGTCTCGGTGCCCTCTGCGAGTACCGAGCTACGGACTAGATGTACAGGCCCATCACCGCTGCCGGTCCAAACTACTCCGTGTCTACATACCTAGGTACCAGGTCATCCCAAACCATGCATGCCATCGGGCAATTGCTGCTGAAGGTAAGGTCCAAGGATTGGATCATGATGCCGCACCAGAAAAAAAAAAAAAAAAAGAAGCCAGTTGCCTTACAACGTCGTCACTTTCTAGGCATCTCATGTGCCCTGGTCTGCGCGACTAGTACCCACCCCTGCCATCCAAATCGCACCACCTGTACCGACCTTCCTGCGCATCTACCTCACCTTGGTACCGCGTGGGAGAGGTATCACCAACCTGACAGGTGCCAAAGTCACTCTGCCGGCATCATCCGCCCAGGTTGAAGAAGCCCTCAACTCTCTACGTTGCCGATCTGTTGATGGCATTCGTCATTCGTCAGCGTGTCGCCCCTTTCATCATGTACGTTTGTGCATCGCGCGCGCGCATCATTCGATCAGGACGGCGGCCACCCCCATCAGAAGGCCCCCGGGGGGGGACAAAAACCATTTGCATGTTCATCACTTTCCCCCTCGCCGAATCCGCCGAAGACCCAAAAAGGGGTCTACATACCGGTTCCGACGTTACATCATCCAACATTCGAACTGTTTTTCGTCCCATCTGCACGAGACGAGGGCGCCAAGGTCAAAGAGCCAAGGAAGGAAGGGGAGGAGCCTTGCAGCCCATGGCCTTCGCCTGCTTGTGGCTTCATGCCCCGCGCCCGCAGCCAGGCCCCTTGTGCTGGTCCCTATCCCCGCCGTGGGACTGTGCCTATGACGTAGCGTGCACCACCAGTACCTGTAGAACGCAGTCTGCGAGTCTGTGGCTTGACCCTTGTCTCGAGCAAAGAAAAAAAATACTTGACCGCTAGTGCCTTGCGTGTGGCTTGCAGATGGGTTGCTTTGTCTCGTTTGCCTACCTACCTGCCTACATGTACCTACCTAGGTCCCTGAGGTACCCAGCTTGCGCCATTCCTTCATCCATCCAGCGTTGCTCTCGTCAGAGGTATGAGGGGCTCCGCTGACGTCTGATGTCCCCTCCCACGCCTTCTGCAACACGATGCTGCTGCCGCCGCGCTTCCCATGTTTCCACGACCAACCTCTTGAGCAGCTATTCTGGGAATGACGGTGGGGTGAAGGCATGACTGAGTATTGGGCGGTCCCACATTTCTTTTTCCTCTCTGTCCCTCTCCAGTTCTCCCCAAGACGAAAGATGTGCACTCGGATCTTGCTCTCCGTCGCCGCTTCACCCAACGACTTGGCCTCCTCCTCGAGAGATGGATCTCGCAGCGAATCGGCAGCCCATGTCGACGCCCTTGCCGTGCAGTGCAACGGGCATCTTGCCATGCACGCTGTTCTCGCGGACCCCTCGCGGACCCCTCGCCCGTTCTCCAACTCGGAGCCCTCCGAATATGCAAGCCGCCCACCGTCATTCTTTCATTTTCAGGGTCTTGAGCACGCGTCTGCTAGTCCACCGTAGCGAATGCTCCGGTCAAAGCAGTGTACCCAGGTACCTCCTCAGACACTTTGATGGTCCTTGACCGTATGCCCTCCACATTGCCTCATCATGACCATCCATCGCAGCCGCGTAGATCAATCCCTGGCTGCGAGGTGGTCACCCGCCCGATAGAGGCCAATGTTCATGCTAAGGCCATCGCTCCGTCTGGGCTATGGCACATCTCGCTACTTGTACACTGACGTCTCTATTTGCGACGGTTCCTCATCAGAATGCCACCTGCGTCATCGACCATGTGGCTTGGGTGCGCCCCAAACCGCTTCCCCCAAAACGCGGGTTCCCCCCACATTACGTCCATGTTTCAACTTATGCTGATCACCGTCGACACTTTGATTGGATCTCGCCGTCCGCTCATGCTGCACAGCTGGTGGCTTGGGTGTGTACACGGCCATCGGAAAGCTAGAACACGATGCACTACGTCGTGGCATGCACTGAAGTCATGGAGAAAGTCCCTCGCAGATTGATGATCGGAATGGCATTGCAACTTGATGCACGACGACGCAGTCGATGGAGTTTGCCATCGACCCTGAGTTGACCTGGATGACGTCTCTCAGAGGAAGTCCACTATCACGATCCCGTTCATCATACCAGATAGCTGACTAGACCCAACCGCCACAACGTGCGCAACGTTCCGTCAGGTCCCGAGTACCTCAGTCCCTGCAGGCCCTCCCCGAAACCGTCCACAAAGCAAAAATAAGGGGGGGCCGTCTTTCACGTGTACTGGCGCGCCGGTCCGCTCAACGGCGGAAAGGTCTCTGAACAAAGGTCCAGTCATTGTCCGCGTAGTGGCTCGTTCCCTCGGCCAGCTCGGCCGTCGACAGGTACGCGTCGTCGTACTCGTCGTCGTCCTGCTCGGAGAGGTGCGTGGCCACCTTCATGATGAGGCTCATCTGGAGGCGGGGCGGGCGGAGAGCCTCCCGACGCTGCTGCCGCTCCTTCTTGGCGGGCCTCGTCGGCCTCCTTCTTAGCGGCGGCCTCGGCCTCCTCTCTGGCCTTTTCCTCGGCCTCGGCCTCCTTCTGGGCCTTGTCCTCGGCCTCCTTCTTGGCTTTGATCTTGGCTTCCATGGCGAGCCGCTCGCGCTCGCGCTGCCTCTCATGCAGGATGACGAGGACCGAGGCGTAGGCGCCGCCGAGCTTCTGCTTGAGGGTCTCAATATCTTGATAGAGAGGCATCGTTGCTATAGACTTATACAGGCGAGAGTGACAAGGGGAAGGCTCTGTCGCGTTTATAAGACGGCGGTGCTTGCTTGCTGGAGGGCAGAGTCACTGTCAGTCACTGCTGAGGCTTTCCAGTCATCTGGTCGGCGGCAGGAGTCTGCTGTCCACCTGGAAACGGACTGACCCTTGGACGAACAGCTTTGTATGGCAGGACAACCTCAAAGGGTATCTCTGGAAGCCTGATGAGACAGCCGATATTTCGATGGAAGCTGGTCTGGCTTCAAAGCCGCTGTTCGGACGGAATTTTGCTGGTTGAGTACGTGATAGCTGTGAGAGCAGACAATGAGACCTGGGCCTATGCGGGACTCTTGGACCTTCCACGTGTTGGCGATACTGGTGAGTCGTCAGTCACGTCAACGCCTGGGTTCTTTCTCGTGAGAGTGCACTTGCAAGGCTCCGCCGGGGGCTTGCGCGCGGAAGCCGCACTTACACGGCGCAAGGCGGGCGCGGCTTTCGAGAACGGGAAGGATGCGGGCTTTGTCGTTGATTCATGGGCGCTTTCCTCCTCGCTGTAGGGCGTTCAGAAGTGAAAGACGCGGCTTGCTTCCATATCGACTAGCAAAAAGGAAGTGGTTTGGGTGTCGCATGCCGCTTGACCATGACGACGAACTTTGATGCTGCGTTACAATGGTCTATTAGTGCTAGGGCGATGAGAACATGTTCACGACCAGGCCATATATAGCATTCGAAGATCAGTCGCAGAAAGGTTTGAGTTTCTGGAGTCTGAGCATATACTGCTGCACTTGATAACTTGTCTTCCTGGATGGTCATCATGGTGTTTTCATTAGGACCCTGCGGCAGAACCTTAAAACTGGCTGCAACGGCCTCCTCCAGGGGCATCTGGTCGAACGATTAGATGAAAGGTAAAAGAGAACTTGCAATCACAGGCACTACTGTCAATGATACGACAAAGATGTGGTTTATCACGCTGAAATTGATTGCCCAAGGTTTATATGGCACAGCTGTCAACCCGCGATGAGGACTATCTGATGCTCCAAAACATGATTCCCTAGCACATACGACCATACCTACTGGAAAATTCGGGATCCCGTCCGCTCTCCCATAGACAAGCCAGTAAGGGTTGGACTAGTAGTTGGGTGGGTGACCACCAGCGAATCCCCGATGTTGTATGTTTTTGATGTTTTTGGCATTTTCCAACCCTGGTGGTGGAAAATGAAGCTATCATGGGCCGTTGTGGGGTATGAGGTGGGGCCGATGCGTATGCAAGTTCGGCGGCAACCCTGTAAGTGCAAAGTCCTCTCGGACCCCTCAAGCTGTGCAAGCAGCCTGTGGCAACTTGATGCGGATGGGCACGTGTAGAAAACCAGCTTGATGCTGCTGTACCAGCAACGAATTCTTGATTGAAGCAAAATGGTTGAAGATGTCATCGTTGGTCGTCATGCAGGGCTATTCGCCATGCCATGAAGCCAGCAAGTTGGGCCTAACCTTCGCAAAATACAGCTGATCGATTCATTCGCAATACCTCTAGATTCGTACGTTACGGGAACACTGTGCGACAACAATCTCCAGAGACCACTCGAATGGTCTGTACCTGCAGATCGTTCGCCATGGCCGTGTTCGTAAGACGAACCAGTGTAAGTCGCCGAGAACCGGTAGACAAATCAAGGAGGACAGGCTTCGGTGCGACTCTACCATCACCGATAAGGACCACATCAGGACATCTTGGAATGAGATCAAAAAGCGCTTGGGTATTCATACAAACTAGCAAAAGAAGTGCACACATCAAGTTATTACAAGAGCACAAGCTTAGCTGAAGCGACCAAGTGCCTTCCCCCTCTTCGACACCTCCTTGGCATGGTACTGCTTGACCTTGGCCCGCCTGGCATCCTCCCTCGCCTCCTCCCCGACGCGCCTGACCTCCTCCCGCGCGGCCGCGACGCTTTCCCTCGCCGCCATGAGCGCGCGGTCGGCGTCTTTCTCGGCCTGCTCGGCGCCCATGACGCGCTCGCGCGCCGACAGCACCGACGGGTCCATGTCGGCCTCGTCGTAGCGGCCGCCGCGCTTCGAGAGCAGGCCGCGCTTGCCCCGTGTGCCGTGCGTCGAGACGGACCCCGAACGCGTGGGACCCGTGTGGTAGGAGCTGCCGCCGGCGGAGGAGAGGGACGAGACGGATGTGCGAGCCGGCGAGGGCGAGCGGCCGCGGTTGCGGTGGAAGAGACCGCCGCCGCCACCCGTCGAGCGGTGGTGAGGGTCTTGGGACGGGTGCTGGACGGCGTGGTTGTCGCGCACGGGCGAGGGCGAGCGGTCGCGGAGGGAGCCAAAGAGGCCGCCCTTCTTGCGAGGGGGCTCGTGAACGGCGGCGTGCTGGGGCACGGGAGCCTGGCGTGGGGGGGAAGGGTCGCGGCGGCCGGAGAAGAAGCCACGGCGGCGGGGTTCTTCGACGGGAGGAGGAGTGGGCTCCCGGGGCGGTGGGGAGGGCTCACGGCGGCCTGAGAAGAAAGGCATGGCGTATGATGAATGATAGTCTCTGCAAGAGGGTCTGTGACTTGGAAGTGTGGAGTGATGTGCCGAGGAGCCAAATAGTCTTGATGGATTGAGATTGATAGATAGAAGGTTTCTAAAAGCTCGGCAAGACTGGGCGAACAGACGATATTTCTATTCCCTCTCTTCGCCCACTGGAAGAGAGGAGACATTCCTCCTGAAAAGCCTCTACTTGGCAGACCATGTCAATGATGCCAGGCGGCATGCCATGCCATCACGACCCGTCTTCTGTCCAGTAATTGGGCGCCGTGCGCCGCGGGGGTTGGACGTCGAATACGGCAAACCTGTTTGGTGGTGATCGACAGTATAGGGGTCGTTGGGCGTGACGTCAGTGGTAAAGAGCAGGGGTTCTGTGCCTACCGAGCCAATAATTCGGACGTGTTGAGAAAGGACCCTGCGATATTTCAACCAATGCACGACGGTCATGCAGGGTCTCGTGCTGTAATGGAGGGTTGAATTATGCCATCGTACATGGTGGTCGGCCTGATGACGATGCTCTGAAGGGAGGAGGAGCTGGTTCGTGATCGGCATTCGAGACGGAGGCTACCAGGAATGGCCGAGTTCTGAGACGGCGTTTGGTTGCATCGATCTCAGGACACTTGCCTAGACATCTGCACTCTATCGATGGAATGCTGCGGGGTTCCCCAGTTCTGCTGTAGAGGCTACCGATCGGATGGTGACGCTGATGATCTATTAAGGGTCTTGCCCAGAACCCCAATCTATTACTCTATTGTTGGCTTCATTATGTCCAGGTCCACTTCTGCACGTCTCGCAATGCCCTACTGCTTCGTCCATCGTCGACAGTGTTCATGATGGGTATCTGATTGAACTCGCAAGCTTTCCGCTAAATATGTATGCGCGCGTGTGTGTTCATTTCCGTTCCGTGTGCGCGCTCTGGGCCACTCACTTCTCGCTCTTGGGTTCAAGAGTCTTGCTGGGCCAGGCCAGCCAGCATACGGCAATGACGACCTTGATGAAGCCAGCAATCCACAGGACAGTGGTCGTGCCGGCGGCGCTCCTCTGAATCCAGCCGCTCACGATGCCGCCGAGGAGAAGCAGAAGGATGGCGAGGAAACGACGGTTACGTTTCGGGTTCTCCTTGAGGGGGGCCAGGATCTTAGGGTCAGACAGCAGGTCGCAGTAGACGCTCGTCAAGACACAGGTGGGCACCTCGTTGTAGCCGAGGACGCGGCTCGAGACGATCTGACCGCCAAACTGCCAAGCGATCAGGGCGACGGGTAGAAGTACAATGTGGCTGTGGTGAGACTGCGTGGCGGCGCCGAGGTCGTCGTTGAAGCTGGGGACGTTGCGGCGATTGTAGTCGGCGACGACGCCCGTCTGGGCCAGGATGGCAGCGATCCAAATAGCGGCGGCCTGTGCGAGGAAGGACACGGCAAGAGTGGCCTTGCGCTTGGGCTGGAAATGACGGGTGTGAGCGAAGGTGAAGCAGCCCAGGGCGAATGAGCCGATGGAGACGAGAGAGCGCAGCCAGCGATAAGGGTCCCCGTAGGGGAGGCTGGCCGCGCCGAGGGCCAGGAAGATGGTGTTGCCCGTCTGCATGCTCACGAAGACGTTCGAGGCGTTGACGGTGACACTGTCGCAGAGACCCGAGATGAAGCAGCAGGCGAAGAGGGGGAGATCTGTGTGATTGACGTGGACGTCATCGCGAAGCCATTCGAGCCAGGTCTTGCGCGGCGGCAGCTGCTGAGCAACGTGCCGAGGGAGCTCCTGTGTCGTCGCGTCGCTGTCCGATGCAGCGCCAGCACTGTGGTTGGGGGCCACTTGCAGGCCGTTCTCGTGGCTCATGATTGAACGTGCGTGGTATCGTAGTCGTGTTCTAGTGGGACTAGAGGAGCAGCGTTGTTGAGGCCCTCGAGGGATGGACTCGCGAAGTTGAATTATGGATGCGAGAGGAGGAAGGAAAGAAGGATGAAGAAGAGGGAAAGGCCGCACGTTGGAGCGATATCACGATGCCCTTGAAAATATCTTCAGCTTCTTTTGCCCAGGCCGGAAGTCGGCAGAGTCATCTATCAAAATGCTCAGGCCACTGAACAAAGACCCAGGTCCCAAGCCAAAGCCAAAAAGCAGTGAAAGAGGGAATAGAGTGATTCAGCTTACGCAATGCCGATTTCACCATCAGCGAGGCCCGTGGTTGGCGGTGTGGAAGGGACCCAAGCGTTCTAGCCTCGAAGGAGGGGCGTGCCGCGATCGGATCAAGAAAAGGCGTGGGGGTGCTATCGCCAGCTGGGCGAGGAGCTCATGATGAAAGTATAGATGACAATCCAAGTTCACAATAATACCGTGCCACTGCGAGCTGTCATGTCGTCTGAATAGGACATCCCTGCGCTTTCAGAGTAGTCCAGCGCCTGCGAGAGCCGTTATGCTGTTGGGGCCAGCCGCACTGCCCTCTGGAGCCTGCGCGCGTAGGTGGAGAAGCTGTGAGGAAGGGTGGGGACGAGCAGAGACTGGGAGGGGATCCTTATGTCAGCACCACCAGTGATTCACAGGCTTTGCGAGGCAAGACCACTAGGTGCTGTCGCTGCCACTGCCGCTACCATACTTGTGCTCGCCCTGCTGCCTGCTGCCATTGTGAGCACCTTCATTGCCCAGTCTTGATATCGTATCAGGCAGGCGCATCCTCACAACGAGGCAGGCGCTGTCGGCAGGTTAGGTCCTTCTCCGGTAGCTCCCAACACTCTTTGGCGGCATGTCCTAGGGACCTCCTTACCAGGTAGGTAAGGTAGGTACAGTAGGTAGGTAGATAGGTACCAAAGCAAAGCACTCAGGCCCCAAAGCCCCCCAATTGAGCCCAGTCGTTTCGGAATCACCTCTCGAACAACAGCTTTCTTCTGCGACCTCCCTGCCCAGTTGATCACCAGCGAACTGACTGGCTGTCGTTTCCCCCCCCCAACGTCCACCCGGATCGCTCAGGTTGTGAGCTTTGAGCTTTTACGCATGACGCCCACCGTCTGGATTTTTGGAGGCCAGGGCCCTCTACATGTACGTTTGTGAGCTCCGTTCAGACTATTCCCGGTGGCTTCCTTTTGCCAGTGTTTCAACCCACCTCCGAATGCACGGTATCAGTGGGTGCTAGTAGCGACCAAATACCTGCTTTGACCTGTGGCAGAGCTCGAAGGGCTCGTCCAAGCACAGCTCATGACGAGAAACCTTCTCTTCCCGGCCAATCGTCCATTGTCCGTCCCCATCGGCTGGAATTATCCATTTGCCGCGAGATTGAACGTCTCTCTTGCCCCAGACATGACGTCCCTCTGCCGAACTGGCCACTCGCGCCAACGAGGTCAAGCTTCCGGCATGGGAAGCACCGCCTTCGAGGTTCCCGCCATCCTCTTTTGTCTTGTCCCTGGCCATGGCATTTCGCCGGTGACAAGCTGTCCAATCCTCGTCCGTTGACCAGTTCTTGACCCCCTCTCCCTGCCTTGGCTTTCCCCCGGTCGCCCCCCTCATAGTCAGGGGTGCTGGATGGACTGAGCACGCTGGTTTGGTTTCTGCGAACGGCCTCTAGTCCAAAACCAGCATGGTGCGGGAACACTCCATTGCGGGCTGATGCAGGTCCCAAGAGGACGGCGTACATTGGCGACATTGGCGAACATTGGCAACCCCTGAATTGACCCTCCGGCTTGTCCATTTCCCTCAATCGCTTGGGAAACGACCCCGTCCATCGTCCCGTCTCTGCAAGTCCACCCCATGTCCCCGGCTGCTACTTGCTCGAATCGCCACACAGAGGGAGAGACAGGGTCTCGTTGAGGGAAAGCAGCGCCAGAGCTATAACACACACTCTTTAATAGACCACGACACCTCAGACCCCGCTGACACCCTGACGCCTCCTCACGTTGACCACGCAGCGTCTCCTCCCACATTCCTTCACTGGCATTCCTGCGCCTCATACACTGACAGCGTCGACCCATCGTCGTCATTCTTCGCAATTCCCACGCGATCACGAACGACGCACCTTCAACCTCGACGTTCTCGGTGCTTGACGTATCGATTCGACCTTTCACGATCACTCTGCTGGGTCAGAGCTGTATCCCACACACTCATTACACTACCGAGCCAAAGCGCCGACGCCAGTCCCGACGACTACAACTATACCTCTCTTCGTTGGTCGACAAAATTCAACGACGATTCTATTGTTCATTCTGCTAGTCGTAATCATGTGGTCCTCACTTGCTATGCCAGCCTTTGCGCTGCTGGCGACGCTTTCCCAGAATGCCCTCGCGCAGGTCACCTCCGATTGCAACCCGATCAACGAAACTGACTGCGCCCCGAACCCGGCCTTGGGCATGGCGCATACATTCAACTTCAACGCGACGCCCTCGAAGGACCTTTGGGAAACCCATGTCGGGCCCATCTCCTTCTCTGATAAGGATGGTGCTGCTTTCACCATCACGAAGCAGGGCGATTCGCCTACTCTCCGGTCCCATTTCTACTTCTTCGGTGGCCGTACCGAGATCATCCTCAAGGCAGCTGCCGGCAAGGGCATCATCAGCTCTGTCATGTGGCTCAGCGATACCCTGGATGAGGTCGATTGGGAATTCGTTGGTGTCAACAGCACCACGGCCCTGAGTAATTACTTTGGCAAGGGAAAAGAAATCTTTACCGAAGGCAAAGATCACCCTGTCGCTGGCGCACCCGTCTGGGATGATTTCCACAACTACACCACCACTTGGACTGAGGATCGCCTCGAGTGGTTCATCGATGGCCAGTCTGTCCGCGTCCTCAACAGAGCTGACGCTCTCGAGGGCGGCAATCTGTTCCCTCAGACGCCCATGCGCCTCTACCTCGGCATCTGGGCTGGAGGCGACCCAAGACTACCCAAGGGCACTCGGGATTGGGCTGGCGGCGACACCGAGTACGACAAAGGTCCCTTTACCATGCACGTTCAAAAAGCGCATGTTCAAGACTACAGTACCGGCAAGGAGTACGTCTATGGTGACAAATCTGGTTCTTGGCAGAGCATCCAAGTTGTCGAGTGAGTTCGCACCTTGTTCACATACTTTTGCTCGACACCTCTCCATTGTTAAGGGAAGCATTATTAACGCATCTTTTACAGGGGCAACTCGACCGTCAAGGAAACACTCCTGGCAACTCCTGACAAATCCATTGGCGAGAAGTTCGACGAGCTTCCTCAGGGCGCCAAGATTGCCGTCTACGCCGGAGGCGCTGGCGTTGCCGCCATACTCGTGTTTGCGTTGATCTTCTACATTATTCGACAGCGCCGTCGTGGAGCTCGCGAGTCTGCCGAAGCCGCCAAGAGGGCCGAGGCCGAGCGTGTCGAGCTGGACGGCTACAAAAAGAGTGGCGTCAACCCCGATGGCTTCTCTGGGCCCACAGGCATGGAATACAACGCCCGCTCCATCGGCAAGGACGGCAGCTTCCGCGAGGAGAGCTACGAAATGCCCGTCACGGCGGCCAGCCCTCTTCACAGCAGTGGTCTGCCCGAGAAGGGATGGGATTCCACTTCGTACGGCGGTGCTGCGGGTGCGGGAGCAGCAGCTGGCGCTGCCGTTGGTTCGGCGGCCGCGATGCGTTCTCCTACCGCTCCCCTGCTTGGTCACAATGACCAGATGAGCCCTCGCATGCACAGCCCAGCGCCGTACAGTGATTCCGCATCACCACACGGCCAGCAGTTCCGCTCGCCCCTGAGGACCCCGAGCCCCGGCATGCCGCCACAGGGACCGCTCCCCATGTCGCCGAACCGAAGCGTATCTACGCCTCAGCAATTTGGCAACCAGCGAATGGGTAGTCCGGCGCCGCCCCAGCCAAACCGCAGTTTTAGCAGCAACCAGTATGGTGACGGCACAGACCAGTCGTACTGGAACAACAACGGCTACAGGTAGCGGTGTGTTGAAAATTTGCTCTTGTGACGACTTGTGTTTCTTTGTATTGCCGGTTTGCTGGATGCGCGTGGAATAGACATCATCTTCTGGAGTTTTGTCTGGCGCGGTTCACTGTTTATTTCTGAAGCTTCTCATGACTGGAAGGTCTCGAGGATGGTCGTTCTTGCCTGTCCCCATTCGGACCACGTAGCGAGATACCTGTTGAAGTTGAACTTCGTTTTGCTGGATGATATGTACCAGAGATGAATGGTATCGTTTTGATGGAATTGAACCGGATTGACTAAGTTTCGGACGTGCTAACCACGGCTCTCCGTTCACTTCTGATTGTTGGCGTTGACGTCTAATTCTGGTTATTTGTCTTATTCACAACGTTGTGTTGTCGGCTAGGGCCACTCCCGATCATGACTTCCTGAGGCATGTCGAGCACCTTCCCTCTGCAACCACATATCAGCCCTGCCGAGCCTGTCGTCCAACAAGCCTATAAGCAGAAGTGGATGGACGCCAGCCAATTAGGGCATTCGCTTCTTCAGTTGCCACCATGTCTGTCTATCGCGGGCCGGCTTTTAAGGCTGAGTGGCGTGCGCTGTGGCCCAAACTCAAAGCACCTGGGGTAAAGATGAAGGAGGTGCTCCGAGACTTTCACCCGATGAGCTAATCCATGAACTCAATCCCGAGTGTAACTCGGGTCTCCTCTGACTGGGTTCTTCGTGGCTGCGAGGCTATCATTGAGGCTTGCAGAATACCAGCGGCGAAATTGAAGGACTTGACATGAAGCGGAGGGTTCTATGATGTCTGTGGTGGCCGACATGTTTTTCACAGATACAGAGCGTCCGGTGGATTTTCTGATCCGGAATGAGTGGGTGGCATGATGCAACTGCAGGCCTTGCTTCCGCTTTCGACGTCGGAAGAAGGGGGTGGCTGTCGTGGCAAAATCGTGATAATGCGATCCAGTTGCCGCGCAGCAGCCCTGGGCGGATACAGTTTCATCCAGCATTAGAAGGCTATCTCAATCCCTTCCATCGCAAAGATGTTCCAATATGGACCAAAATATGCACGACACTGTCAACAATCCACCGAGCGGATATAGACCTTGAGCCGCGCCCGAGTCTGTAAGACGTCTTAAGGATGAAAGGGACGATCAGATTCCTAGATCTGACAGGTATCTTGGCATGATATTCGACAATCCTCACTCAGTCGAGTAGTTGAAGGCTCTGCCATGTGTGGAGACTGATGATTGAGCCCGACTTGTCAATGCTGCTAGCCGATCCATGACGCTCGTTGAGAATAGGCAATGTTTGGTGATCCACTGTCACTCGAGAACCCCCCGCTCATGTCAACAGAGGCTTCATATCGCGCCTACCATGTAGTAAAATACCTCTACTGCATCAAGCCCGCCAGCCATGTCCTTCCAAGATGAAGAAGCCACAGGAGTAAGCCCGAAGCTTCACGATCACAACAAACAGGGCTAGCGGTTGTATAAAGCACGCCATCCATAACCGGTTCCTTGCCCCCATCTCGTCTTCTGCTCATCACGCTCACTCCAGTTCTCTTCTCAGACCCATTGTCTCTGCCTCATTTGACCTTTTTGTTCTGTTATCCAGGCACACAGACAAGATGCAGCTGACTTCTGTCTTTCTCGCCGCTGTGGCGGCCATGACCGTCTCGGCAGCCCCGAGCACCACGTCGCCCAGCTCGGTCGAGGCGGCCCTCGGCGGCCACCACGCCCCCCGCTGTCATGGCAACATGGAGTACGACCCCTGGAAGAAGCAGTGCAAGTGTGATCGCGGCGAGTACTACGATGTCGAGGCCAAGCAATGCCGCCACAAGGAGGTCAAGACGTTCAAGTACAAGAAGTGCCGCGCCGACGAGAAGCTATACTGTGCTCGTGACGAGGGCACCTTCGTCGAGTACAGTGAGTTCCCCTCCCCCTTTTCCACAGTTCGTGATCGCTCCCGGCGAAGGCTCCAGAGCGTCGTATACACCCCCCTCTGTCTTCGCATTCAGCTGGAGACTGACACGATGGGCCCTCCCCAGACCGCAAGAACCCCGCCTGCTGGCAGGAGCGTTCCAACAAGCTCTTCTGCGCCAAAAAGTCGCGCGTCAAGGAGACCTTCAAGTCCGAGGTTCAGCGCGAGTACGAGGTTGCGCACTACTCAGCCGCGCAGCGCCAGGAATCCGAGACCAGGCGTCAGGCGTGCCACGCGCCCCGCCACTTCAACCACCACCGCAACTCGTGCGAGTGCCCCCACAAGAAGGCGAGTATCCGCCCTGCCACGTCCCTGCCACGTCTCGAGGACGGCCCATCGCAGCTTCGGGGGCGTCATCCGTGACAGAGAGGATGTCTCTGACTGATCGTTGACAGGTCTGGGACGGCAAGCACTGTGGATTCCCCAAGATCCCCGAGCCCACGTGCAGGCGCGGACAGAAGGCCTATTGTGCCAAGAGCGCCTACCGCGTCACTCAGTATAGTAAGCCAGCCTCGCGCCCCCTTTTTTCTCTTCCTATTCGGTTTGGCCGTGTACTAAGGAGTCTCAAGGCGTCAAGGAGGAGCTCTGCCAGGACAATGGCAAGAACTACGTCTTCTGCTGCGGCGAGGATGTCGAAGAGAAGAAGCACAAGAAGACCGACAAGAAGCCCAAGACGCAGAAGAAGAAGCCCGCCAAGAAGCCCGAGGAGAAGGAGGAAGAAGAGGAAGAGGAGGAGGAGGATGGCGAAGATAACGAGACCAACAATGAGGATGACGAGGAAGAGGAGAAGGAAGAGAAGAAGCCCAAGAAGGGTCCCAAGAAGGGTTTCAAGAAGGGTTCCAAGAAGGGTTCCAAGAAGGGTCCTAAGAAGGGCCTCAAGGGCAACAAGCTCAACCACAAGAAATTCGCCAAGTGCGCTGGCCTCATCTGGGAGTAAAATATTCGCGACGTCGCCGGCCCATCGTTTCTGGCATCGCGTCGGGCGCTTCGGTCGCTGTTGGGGGCGTATGGTCGCTGGGGTTCGGTCGGTGAGCCGCGACGCAGCACAGGGTGGAAGCGGGGAGGGGAAACAAAAATTTGCTTCATGTCACTCCTTTAAATCAAGCCGCTTGGCCTGCGAGTTTTACTACTTCGAGGCAGGCTTTCAGCAGTAGAGTGAATACAAAGATTGGTTGTTGAGGAATTGAATCTTGCGGGACATGCCGTCACTCATTACACACTTCTTCCAAGGTCAACGCGAGTCCGTTTGGCGAATCACATGGTGTATACGAGGCGTATGGAACCAGGCTCTGGGCTTTCTGGCATATATGTTGAAGTGGTGAGGATTTGTTCTGTCGATTGTGGGCGACATGGATGGCCGGACTCTCGTGGCCGTTGGAGAAAGAGCAACGGCAATGATGCAGGAGTGTGAGTTGAAACCAATCAGCCAGGACCGACTCGAGTCGGCAAAATGTCATCTTGAGATAAAAACCAATCAAAAAATCAACATAGGGTCTGACCTTAACCGACCAGCTGCGGACTCTGTATGCGACTGAGCTCTATGTAAGTAAACGGCATCACTTAGGTTTAAGGTTCGCCGCGCGGAACAATGAGGAGAGCAAACAAAGCTACAAACCTTCAATTGAATACAGGGTTCACATACGTCATGCGCTCAGCGGACGCTGATAGGTTATGTGTTTTGTTTTGGGGGCCGCTTAGGGGTATTTATGTAACGTTCAGAATATAGGCCGATATAGAGCCTTGCTTTTTACTCTACGAGAGGATCTAAAATCCTCCCTTCAAACCCCGCTCTTCCAAACCCCAGCAAGAGATTCGTAGGGGGTTTCTCCGACGACGCCGCCAATGATTTGCAGAAAATCAAAACCGATGCGTGTGACTCTCGTCAAAGTTGTCTATGTCCATAAATATGTCATCATGTGACGTCGCCTCCATGTCGATGAACTCTTGAAAGAGCGCGACGTCTTCGAATTGTCCGGCGAGCGTCTCGACCTTGGCCTCCCCCGGGTTCGTCATGGCGAGCTCGAGGTCGCCCATGAAGGTGGCCCGAATGTCGCCAGAGGGATGGTCCAGCCCGCGCTGCTTCAGCTGCTGTAGTATGGTTCGTGCCTCCAGCCCTGTAATGTCACCGTTGCGCAGCGTCATGGCGAGGAGCGCGCGGCCGATGGCCTCGGCGAGGCGGTAGGACTTGCGGAGCGACTCGTAGCCGTACACGCAGTGGAGGAAATAGAAGCGCCACTCCGGGTCACCCGTGTCCTTGAGTACGGCGTTGGCCACGTAAATCAGTGCCGTGTGCCAGAGGATCGTGTATGCGGAGGATTGGTACTCGGAACGGTACACGACGATGAGTCGTTTCAGTTGATTAACCGACGCTTTGAAAGCGGCCTCGGCGGAACTCTTCCGCGAGGAGAATGTAGTGAGGCGTGTCTTCTTGGCCTTGCCGTCTCGCAAAAACGGGCGAAATATGTCCAGTATCGCAGCATGGAACCACAGGCTGCGAGCAACGGTATCAGCAATACACTCTTGAGGCGTCAAACACGACTTACTGAAACGTCATGACATGATGGGGGTTGTCTTCTGCCTGCGCGAATGAAGACGGAAGCGTTTCAATCCAAGCCAAAAGCTCGCGATATTTGCGCTCTGCGAACTCGATCGACACGTGCTCACAGATTTGCGCAGGTGTGCTCGTGTTCCTGTTATAGTATACCATACTCACTCCGTGGAGAATGCGCCAAAATCTACACAATGCCGTGAAGGTTTCGCCCATGTATATGGGAGGGATTCTCTCGGGGATTTGCGAGTTCGCGTCTGACTCTCTGCTACGGCTCGACCCCGGCGACGAGGCGAACTCCGGGGAATCGCCAGGAATGGGCAGCGCCGGAGGGTACTCTGGGTACTCCAACCCGGGTTGCTGGTAAAATAGAGATAGAAGACTATGCCCAGTTAGATGGCCGCCACATATCGAACGGGAACTGGGAGTACTTGCATGGACCAGTTAAAAACCCCCCAGGCTGTATAAGATCTTGCAGAACGCACTTCCGAGGTCGTATCGTTCTGCGCCACCAACCTAGTAGGCTCAACTCCCAACAGGGACATCCTCCTAGCCATGCGGCATGCTTCAGTGAGGAATACCAAAACAAAGTGATCGCGCCCGTTGCCCATGAAAGCCAAGCTCAGCAGCTGAGCCCCTGCAATGCTGCACAGGCTGTCGATAGATTTTGCTGCCCACCAAAGTCGCTCTGCCTCGTTGCCGAACTGCGAAACTAGTGGGTGCGCGGATTCGTCGAGACTGGTGTACATTTGCTAGCGTTCTGTAAGCTCTTCTGAAAACCTCCCCGGCTGAGACCGCTAAAGGAGAGAAACGGGAAGAGAAAGAGGAAACTACAGTGCCCAGTACATGAGAGCATGTACAGAACCGGGAACAGTATACGTCTCTGTGGCCGACAAGATCGGATACAAACAAGTCGGGATCGAACATGCCGAGCAGTGGGTGATCCGTTCTCAAATACAAAGAAATCACATTGGTTGCAAACTCGTTGGAGAGAGGAATATCCGTCCAAAAGGACATGTCGAGACGATGCAGCCTCTCGTCACATATCGGTACCGAAGTCGGCGCTTTGCCTCCGCCAGGCTCAGTCAAAAAGGGGTTATCCTCCGTGTCGGCGAGATAAGAGCCTCCTGTCATGTGGTCGGAAGGGAAGCCATAACCGGAGAGATGAATACCTAGGATAGTCCTTCGATACGTATTAGCAACGAAGCCAACCTGACAAGGCCGCAATTCGAGGGCCCCTAAGTACCTTTGATCCATGGACCTCGTTCGTCGGAAATAAGGGGCTGGACTCGCATCAGACGTCTCAGGGCGCGGCAGTGGAAGAGGACGAATAGCGGGATAGGCGGTAGGGTAGTTCCGCATGAGCTCGTGTTCGAAGCGAGAACGGGAGAGGTTGGTGTAGCTATTGTCTGCGCCGGGCTCGGACGGCGTAAGATTGGAGCTTGTAGAGTCTTTGAGGACGGCAAGAACGGCCGACGGGTCGCGGTTAGCCCTGAGCATGCGCAATATGTCGAGAGCTTCGGGCTCGGGAGCTGCCTTGAGGAGCTGCAGCACTTCGTACGACTCGGCCATGGCGGTATCGGACGCTCCTCGCGCGGGCTTCTCGGTGTAGACGCAAGTTTTAGACCTCTTCAGGCACGCCTGGCACGAAGGGCGCTGTCCATCGCACTAAATCGTCGGAGAATCAAGGTCAGTGAGCCGGACAGAAGACGCTGCCAGTGCAGACGAGACGGAGCCAAGCGTGCTTACGCGAGCCTTCCTACGGCGGCAATCGTTACAGGCAAGCTGGGTGCCGATCCGTTTTCGCTTACCGCGATCATCGTGCTCGCTGAGGGAAGCATCACCATCGAGCAGGCCCAGTTGGCCGTGGCCAGGCGTCTGGTTGTATCCATGGGTGTGACTAAGAGCGGTAGTGGACGCAGAGGGGGCGTTGGCTGATGAAGATGACGAGCCAGTCGCGTGGTTTATATCATTGACATCTGCACCATGGGCGGCTGGTAGTAGCTGGCGAAGACGTTTGCTGCTGCCATGGTTGGACATGGCGACGACAAGACATCTGTCTCTGTGAAGTTTAGAGGGTGGTTCGGGACGCCTGGGGTGATTTTGATGCCTAAGCCGATGTACAGCAGGTGGTCAGGGAGCCCAGCTGTCCCGTCGCTTCTTGACTCAAGATTGGTGAGATGGGGGCAGGGAGGGGGGTGATTGAGTGGGGGGTGGGCCGCAGGTGGGAAGAATATGTGCGTCTGCTCGGATGTCTGAAGGATGGCCAGGGATCATAGTGGCATTTTGACCCAAATACAGGAGACTGCGCTGGGATCCGCCGCTCGTCGTAGATTTGACGAGATCCGTTGCCTTGTTATGTAGACGAGGTCCCAGCACATATATGTCTTCCCTTAAAGATCTGGCAATTGCGTTCAGTGTTAGATGAGATGCTTTTGTGACAACCGAGGAAGCTCAAGCAAAGCTCGACATAACCTGCGTAGCTTCGTCGCAGCTGTCCCAAAATGCGGTCTGGTAGAGCAGCTCCGGCAAGGTAGGCAGGTCGGTGACGCAGCTTAAGTAAGGCAAGGTAGCTCATGGAAGAGGGAGAGATGATGGTAAACAAGACGGGATAATGGGCTCGGGCAAAGCAAGGGTTGTCACCCCACCTCCCCTCGCAAGACGCAACAGCCTGGCTTATGAGAGGGGCACGTACCTTAAGGCAGACGACACCCAAAGGTGGCAAAAGAGGCAGCTCTAGCTCTCGTCAATCTTTCCGGACCAGGCGCGGTGCGAATCAAGGCGAAGTCAAAGCCAGTATTCGTTCAACAAGGCCAGAATGCTGATCTCCCAAATATGTGTCTACCAGAGGCTGAAGATTGCTGCGCACGTGATGTCGAGCACCTCAATCGGAGAACGGACCTTGGATAGGTACGTCAGGTACGTCGAGGCTGGGATGCTTTTGGGGGCCGATTTCGCCCCCTGCCGCAAATGACCGTCTGGAGTATGAAATCGATGGGAAATATGGAATGACATAACCGGCGTCATCGTATTCTACCTCAGTAGTGCGGTTAGAGAACGTCCAGCGGATAGATACCCAAAGTAGTCGGCCTCGCGAGAGCTCGCCACCACAGACCTCTCCTTTCTAGCCAATCAGCACGGGTCTCCCTCCGGAGACGACTCCGAGCGAGCGCAGAGCATTATTGGTTAGATCGCTCATCCCCGCCGGCATCTACGAACCAGTACTCCGACTACCTGTCAGGTACCGAGCGTCCGGGGCATGCCCCGGGCCAACCACGCGCCGTAAGACGGTGTCCCTCTTCCCGGCCGAAGGACTTTGTGAAGACTAGATTTTGGACCCTGAATCGGATGTCGGCGGAATGAAAGCCGGTTGGGTCGGCCGTACGCCTCATCGGAGGAGGACCGTCATAAGTGGCATGTTGTCCGAGGCCCGGCACCATTAGACCATCTCGTGTCCGCTGCCTGGTTGATGCCGGTTTAGAATGACGGGTTACGTGAGTTGTATGTTCGCAATTGAATATGTTCTCGCTTGATTCGTGAGAGAACTGCGCCGTCAGAGACTGTGTGTTGAGAATATGACCACCTAAGACTGATGCTTATTCCACTTCATTCTAGTACAAAGAGTAAGAAAACAATCATACCTAGCGCAGGTTTGGTGTGTCGTGAAAGGTAGACTCAAGCCCCCACACTCCCTCTCCTCTACATCTCACTTTTTCGACAGTCTTCCGGCCTGCAACCCGCGATTTGGAAATGCCCGATGGAGAGCTTCATCACTAGTGCCTGTTACTGGTTAACGAACCCGATCAGCATATGGCCTTCATGAAGAATCAGCGCCGAATCGTATATTGCCGGCCGTCCGAGGTCCTCGCTCCCGCCGACCCTGCTGACCCAGTCTTAACCTATCCCCAGCACAACTGTTCGACGCCAACGGCCCCCAAAGAATTAATGCGAACAGTCGCTTTTAGATGCCTTACCTCACTCAAGTCTTTGTATGCCTGGGCTGTACGTGAACCGGGACGCACGAAGCTGCGGCACAGCCACAATCAGCCACCATTCCGGCGAAGGGGTGATGCAATTTCAGTCGACGAGTGATATTTGATGATCTTAATCGACCTGCTTCCTTCAACAGGCTGAACCCACAGGGATTTGGCATGGATATGGCTGTGCATCAGATGAATCATTCAGATGGCCAATTTAGACCCGTCAATTCTCTTGCAGATTGGCGAAGCCGGGTGAGAGAAGTTCTGCACGTGACTGATGTATCCCACTTCGATTTAAAGTCGACAATCGTTTAGCAGCGATCTTGATTGACATGCTGAATCGGAACAAGCTATATACAAGATTGTCACAAGACACGTAGAGATTTTGCATACATCTTCTTTTGTAAGGTTACACTGTCAATGACTCGAAGAAAGTGTCAAAAATCACGTGTATGATGATGACGTCATTGAAGCATATCATGAGACGTTGCCCCACCTGTTGCGATCGAATGAACTGGAATCTTCGCGCATGCCTTCTGCGCAAGGATGGGCAGCCTATATATATCACTGTCACACGAAACCACACCTGTGTCTTAATCCCTTGCGACAGCAATCGAAAGCTAGGAGCTTGCCCGCTTCGCGATTGTGTTGATGATATGGTTGGCCTCTAAATAATGGCATTCAGTGTATACTGCGCGGGATCCGAGGTGTCCCCGACAATGCCCATACCTCCTACTGAATCTTAAACGGCAGCAATAGCTGTGTGGTTGTCAGCGTGTTGTGATTCCTTGTGGTCTGAGAGTCTTCGAGCGGGAGCAAAGGCCGACGCCCCGACCAAGCTGGTCTCCTCCCGACGACCTCTTACCTACGGCACAGTATGCCTGCCATACGGGCTTTGTCACAGACACCCCGTTCAGCATGCCACTTTGTTCTTCAAAGTGTTGCATTACGTCGTTGCCGAGTCAGCGCACCCGTGGGTTACGCTGTGAGCGAGCAAGTACCCATGGCAGGAAGACCCTTCGGCACCCACAACGCACATTTTATTTTGGCCAATAACTCGAGGCGAGAAGGAGGTACGACATGCGAAGCTTGCTAAGCCTGCGCAGCGGATCTCGGCGGCTGGGCGCGAGGCACAATATAGTAGCAAAATGCAATGCCATATGTACCCTGGGACGCAGTCAAGTTGTGCGTCGGGCGATCAGGCCGTAGAGGGCTCATCGGGTGTTGGGCCGCTTGCTCGATGCTTGGGATAATGTGGGTGACCAGACATATTTTTGACTATTTCTTGCACTGTAAAGCTCATGGCAAGATCGTGTGCCTAGAACGTTAGGGCAGTGGAATACGCTGTAGACTGGCTGGCTGGCTAGGATTCGCGACACCGGTCCATCGTTAGCTCCCACACGCAATGAGAGGGAGTGAGAGGAGGAAACAATATCAACAGTGATCCTGCCCGCCAGTGCGCCACAGGCGGCAGTGATGAGAGGGGCTCAGATGGGAATCGCATCAGGTCGGAGCAAATCTGTAGATGTCAATACTGTAGAGGAGAGAGGCAGACAAGATGTCGTGGAACTTGGCGTGTTGGGCGGAGCACATGGACCGAGAGAGGGGGTCGAGCCCAGCTTATCCAACCGCAGAGGACAGCATCAGCATTTCGCTGGACATTGGGGCACACGGCTGGCCGAGATGGCAGCCAATGCATTCTGCCACTTCAGTGATTGATGCTCTCGGTCTCAGCAGGCTACGCCACTCGCCTCTGCTCGCAAGAGGCTTGAATTCAGAAAGAAGTCGAGACGGTCACAAACCAGACATGCCTCTCTCTCCCCTTTTCCCGTCTCGTCTCGAGAGGAAGGGGAAAACGCTCAGGAAGGTGCTTCGGAAGGTGGCGCGTGCCTGATCCATACTGAAGAAGGCGCGACCTGACGACGAATTGAGACTGGAGAATGGAGGGGCTTAGTGGTGGGTGGGTTGGGCCGAGTGGAGACGGGCCTGGTGGTGGTGCCCATACTGGACTGTGGTGTCGGCGGTGGTGGAGCCAGTTCCCCTATTTCGGTCTGGTCGCCTGAACCCTTGTAGACGTTGCGTCAGCATTTCAGCCAATCAGCGGTCTAAAGGAGGAAATGCTCCGGCCACCAGCTCCGTCCAGCGGGTGGCCAGCGGTAGAGTGGTTTGAGGGGGCAAGTAAGGTATCTATCTCACCTTAGTCCCCGGCTGCGCTTGACCAGCAGCACCACAAGACTTGAAGGGCCCGGCCGACGACTGAGGTACTTACGCACCGAACAGGGGATAGAGGTCTCCCGCCCGAGGTGGACAGCCGGAAAAAAAAGAAGCAACAGGGAAGGAGTTAGGTGCAAATCGCATGGTCATCCTGTCGCCTCGCCATGTCGAGTCCGTTCTGCATGCCGCCTCTTCCCTCTCGCTTTCGGAGCCCTGTGTCTCT